TAAAAAAAAAATCTTCCCGGTGAGCATGCCCCCGTACCCCCCTAGAGGAGGTGAGGACCTCCCCCCTACTTATAAAATATCCCTTTACCTCTGCTTACACCTATATGCCATTTTGTATGCTGTGAGCTGATTATCGAGCCTTCATTGTAAGAGTCGGGGGTACACTGTGTGTGTGCGTATTCCACTGTACCGCCCGGTACATTAATGGGAAACCCTAGTTTGTAATAATGTTCAATACATTTGTAACACTGTACTCATGGACGTTTATTTTTTCGGTTCACCAAAAAAAAAATCTCACTCCAAGCTGAACTCAAATGTTGGCAGCCCTGCAGAAACTAATCTGCTTGTCTACAAGTAGTATTGTGTTCATGTGTTTTTCAGAAAGGGGAATCAGAATCTAAGTCACCTGAATGCGAAAAAGCTGAATATACAAAGATTTTACCTCTGAAAATTAGATGTTTGCATAACAGGCGGACATCTTGTGACACATACATGTTGTCAAGTTTCCTTATCAGAACTCCTGCAAGTGGTTTTGTTGTGTTTTTTTTTATTCTCATTGTTGAGGTTTTGGATGTACACGCTTATAGCAGAAATTGTACGTTTTGTGCAATGTAAAACCACCAAATGATGTATCCGTTTTGGAGAGCAGTGCGAAGCCTCTACCCTTTTACACCATCTTTGTTGGTTGTGGCACTGGTGGATTTAGGATAGGTGTTCATTTCCCCCCAGTGAAAACAGACAATATTAAATGCACAAAAACAACCTCTATATCCAAATATCATTCACAAATATATTCACCTCTGAAATTTTAGTGCAACAATGTTGTCCACAACGTTCAGTTTTGCCTCAACCATATTTGTATTTGAGGCAATGCCTTACATTGATGCTATTCTGCTCTCTTCTACCTGTAGTGGAGTTTTTCCACAAATTAGTATGAATGTACATTTCTGTAAGGCTGTTAAATCTTATGTAATTTCAAAGAAAAGCAGATGAAAATATATTTTTATGTTCTTTATGTATCATATATCTTAGCCTATAGCCTATTTCATCAACAGATACAGAGGAGCAAATGTTGGCAATGAGAATCTTAAATCTCTCTCCAGATTACAGACTAAACATGTAAAGATCAGAGTAAAAAAAGAAAGAAACATTGACATTGTGTTATTGTTGTTTTGTTATAAAGATTGTGCTAGTTATAATTCCTGTTTGGACAACAATGCATCATATTCTTTAAAATACATCATCAAATGTTGTGTTTTGCAGATGATCCAAGGTGGTTATTTAATCTGTTTTGTCCTAAAGAAGTAGGGCAATACTTATTTTCCTCAAATTATTTTTTTTTTTTATGATTGTCATTTTCTATGTCTTTCTATGTCTTCCCCTGATCTCAACTTTTGTGGTATACAAAATGTATAATGTTTATATGTTCTTGAATAAATAAAGGAAAAAAAGCTGGGCTGGAGCTCCACTACCCACTGTGTTTATAAACTGTGGCGTCAGGGCGTAACCTGGAAGTAGTCACTCTGAGCGGGATAACCGGAACAACAAGATGGCGGAGAGTGAAGAGTTTCGGGTAGGCTAAAAGAAAAACACTGATTGTGACTTTCGTCTGTCAACATTAAAACACGTTACAAAAACTTGAAAATAATATGATGTTATAAATATGGCGGTCGGAGCTGACGGGCTCAGAGGAAAGGGCATTACTTCGCAGAAATATGCACTTTTAAGAGCAGGTCGTTAGCGTTTAGGAAGTTAGCCTTAATGCTAAGAGACGCTAATAGGTCTCTTGTTATTTCACTTCAACTGAAACCCTTGCTGAATTTAATTTTTCAATGTGTCTGTTCGCGGTGTTGTTGTCTTTGTAAGTAGTTATATAACGCTGTTAAGCAACATAATTGGTCATTAAAACCCTCCTGCACGAAGTCTATTACATGCAGCTATTATCACGATGATACAACAGCTAGCAAAAAGTTAACGCTATGGTGTCTAAATATCTTAATTTTAACACCTTCATATAACCTTAGCCACACTGGTATAAAGTCTTTAGGTTTTTTCTTTGATCGTTTTAACAACTTAATAGTTTCATTGAATTGTACTGTTAAGTCTAGACTATATTTTCTGATGTAAACAACTGTGCAAATACAAAGCTGAGGGAACAGCTGCAACGCCGATAACTGACTGATTATTTGCTTGTTCGGTAATATAACGTGATTGAATTTGGTTAAAGGAGGCTGGGAAGTTGTTTTGCTTATGAACTACATGTATTAAACATCACTGTCTAGTATTGTTCCTGTGATAATGAAAATACAAGTGATCCTGATAATCATTTAGCGGTGTGAGGCGGGGGAGGAGGGTTACTTGTTAAATCTAAAAAAATGTAATAATTTACCTAATCTGATAAAGATGTTGTTTTTTACTAAAGGGTAGGCCTATGTAACCTTAACAAAGAAGAAACCTACCCTGAAAGGGTTTAATAGGAAAATATAATAATGTGTGCACACAGATTTAATTGATGGTGTTAACAAATTATAAAATCTATTCTCTTACACTCTTGTTAATTAATTGTCTTGAATTAATCATTTGTATATGAATTAACTGAACATGACTTAAAACCGTTTTTGAAATTAGAACATACAGTATTCCCAAGGGAGTCACCGATAAATTGATGTATTAAAGTAAACAAACCTGATTGAACCCAGACTTATGATTATTTAATGAATGCCACAAAAGCCTGAAAACCAGATTTCCTCAAGATACAGATTTGTCATAGAAAAGCATGCATACAATGTAATCAAGACTTGTATTGTGTGGCCTTGATGTAGGCTTGTGTAGTGTTTTCTTGTTTAGATCTTTATCAGCAGTAGTGTTCAGTTGTGTAACTTATTGAGGAATCCAGAGTGTCCCAGCTTCAGGTGTTTCTGGGCTTTATTTGGCACGACAAAAGAGGTTGAAAGTCAAAATGAAGGCACTGTGTCCAGAATAAGTCAAGGATCAAAGACCCTTTGGCCCAATTCCAATCGTACTGCTTCCCACTCTGTGACGGAGTGGACTCCGTCTGTAGTCACACTGTCAGCTGAATGGCGCTCCTTCTTTAAGGCGGAGGAGGTTGTCAATACAGCGACAAGCTTGGGGAATACTTCCTATCTCTGACAGAAACGGGAACGGTTGTAACTTTCTCTAACCGTAGTTTCAAATCAGCCACTCACTGACTATTTTTTAATAAAACTCCCAAAATCTTAAAGGGCGTTTTATTTTTTATTTTATTTGTCGATGTTCGCATGGAACTATGTGTACATAGCGTGTTTCACGGGGGACACAAACAGCGTTGCACCTGGTAAGGTAGGTTCAGCAACAGGTTTATCAGGACTTATGCTGTGTGTAGTGGTCGGCCGAGTAGGCATACTCCCACTGTTGCCCTGTGATGTAGGTAAACAGTCCAAACTGCCTTTTCTGTCAGCAGGAGTCCTTCCTGTAGCAGAGACCTCAGCGTGTTGACAGGAGAAACAGCCGCGTGGGACCACACCAACAGCAGCATGAACCTCCAGCAGCCGGCACCTCTCGTCCCCCCCGTCCACCCTGATGTGCAAATGAAGCCCCTCCCCTTCTATGATGTGCTGGACATCCTCATCAAGCCTTCGAGTCTAGGTGCGCCATGGAGTTTTCTTTTCTTTTTCCTTTGAACTGTGAGACATGTAACCCTTGGTTCTGCCATCATGACTTGTGGCGGGTACTTTTGAATGATCTCATATACTGATGCAAATGTATTATTCTAGAAGTTGCTAATAATATACCAACAAAACATTTTTCATGACAATACTTTCCTGAGTAGGTTTTACAAACTAAAACCATTAAAATGTTTTGAATTGTGTAAATATAACCAGCTAGGGAATTGTTTATCACAGGATTATACCACATGCATGTCATATTTAAGCTTGAAGATTTTTTCCATCATACATTTGAAAAATGACGGCAAATGAGACCTCTGCAGCAGCACTAAGTCACATGGCCGTGCAAAACGGAGAAACATGGCGTATGTCCATTATTTGCCTATGTTTTACCCATGCGTCCCTAATTCTGATACAGATGCTCCATGAAGGTGTAGTTAGTAGTATGAAGTACTTCACCTGTTTTGGTAATATGTGCAAAACCTAAAGGAATACAAAAAGTAACATTATGTTTTTCATGAAGAAATGTTCCTGAGTAGGCTATACAAACTAACAAAAACCTTTTTAATATATTCAATTGTGTAAATACAACCAGCTGGGGAATAGCTTATTAAAAGATAATACCACTTTCATGTCAAATTGGTGCAATCATAATGATGAACTTTCATATCAACTTCCAAGACGTATTTGAAACTGGAACATTTTGTGATATATCCGACTTGGCAATAAGTAGTCTAGTAGTGACTGAAAATAAAATATGGAACCTTGATATCAGAAGTAGATTAAAATGAAATTCAACCCAAAGTTTGAGTTATTTGGTCAATTAAGAGTATTTTAACCCTTACATGACCAACATCCTATATGACTAACAAGACTTATACCTGACGAAGGCAGTGCCAGCCAACACTAGCAAGGGTACAGTTTGTAATTGTTCTGTAGTAAGGCCTAACCGGAGTTGACTGTGTTCCTTAAGTGCCTTTGTCCCTAGTACAGAACTTTAATTGAATTTTGAACACAATTAGCCTTCGTTGTGGAAGAGGGAAAGACTCATGAGAATAGAGATTAGACACTGAACCATCAGAAACAATTCAGAAAAAGTTCAGAAGTTTTTTGAGATATTTCTCTCCAGCAAAGTGATCAGAAGTCGAAAATGCACTCTGTGTGTTGTATTTCATTTGCTGATCCTGAAAACACTCGCTACACAGGGCGGAAATCCTGCATCAAGTACCCCCAGGGGTCCACGTACCCCCGGTTTAGAACCGCTACTGTAGTTCATTGAGAGGCAGCACAAATGAAAACATTGAAGCAGATAGGAAGGGGCTGCAGCGTTTCAGTGCACTCTAAGGAGAGTATTGAGTTCATGGTGTGGGGATTGTGCAGATGAGTTGGGATTACTGCAGTGATCCATCTGAAAAGGTACCAAAATGGTAACTTGTTGTTCCATATGAAGATCACTAATGATGCTAATGTGTGTGTTATTAGCCATGGTATTCACTCTAACTTTCAGTCACCATTTGTGTCTCCAGGAGCGAGTCCTGCACAGAGGTACCACCAAGAGAAATACTTCATCTTTGCCCTGACACCACAACAAGTTCGTGAAGTGTGCATATCCAGGTAGGACTGTTTAATGAAAAGCGACTTGTGGTGTTAAATAATAAATCACTGATTCTTGAGAGTCGGGACAAAACACTTTCTGAAAAATATTTTTTGAAAATGTACACTATTGATTAGTTATATATTCATGTAGATTAAGATATGTGCTATTTAACCATGTAAAGGTGCAGGCTTGAGGTTAAAACACATTTTTAATAAATTCACATGTTTACCTTAAAAACTTGATTTGTGTCAACTACGTCAGACACACTAAAAGTATATAATTATATAATTATAATAGCCCAACAAGAATCTTAAGTTCTGATGTATGTTGTTATAGTGTTTAGTTAATCTTATATGCAATAAAATATAATATGTAAACTAACGGCTTAATTTCACACTGTTATGAATAGACAGATTTAAAAAAAATTGCATTTTCAAACTTTATCTTTTATTTTGCCACTAAAGAAAAAAAATCCTTAAGGGAATAAGACACAAGAGGGTATAGATCTGATGGTCCTTTATTACTTAAACAACACAAACTGAACAAAGAATTAGTTTTTTCCCAGAACAATTACAAAAACATACATCTGAGGTTGCTGATGAAGATCTGACGGTGTTGACAGGAAACTGACTGAGTTGACAAAATTGTATTTGCACTTCTGATTAATGAACAAATGCTTTGTTAAACAGATGGAAGTGACAATAGATTCATAAATAACAACTCCTTGTCTTCATTCAACTGAAATAAACTATCTTAGTGTAAATACAGCGTTTCAAACTATAACAAATTGCACCGTTTCCAACTATTACAAAAAATAAGCTAACAATCAGCCATAGGTGATGCTGCAAAACATGGCATACTTCAAAACTAGGAAAAAGAAGAGAGCAGGAACACATGTGTTGAGGAGG